CTTTTTTGAAGTCCTCTGGTGCATGTGAGTATGTGGTTACAGCCCATTTAGTGCTTCATGTCAAAATTTAGGAGCAGAAAAAATTTAAAATGGAAGCGTTGGAATCCATGAGTTGCCCGCATCATAAATAAAGTACTTTTGAAACGATATTGGGAATTGCTGGGGAAAAAGCATCTTAAAGCAGTTATGTTTACATGCACACTTCAGGCTTTGGCACCGTGAGCTGTACTCGTCTCCCAAGATTAAGGAACAGGATTTCTGCTTATGAGAGAGTGGGAGTTGGGAATTTCGGTTCTAATTTTTGCTCCATTGCTGGCTTCTCTCTGTCCTTGGGCAGATCGCTTTTTCCTGAGCAGACTTCTGATTCCTGAAAGGGAGCTAAATAGTTAGCCCTCCTCTGAGGATCAGAGTAGATGGCGTATTTGAAAGCGGGTGTAGTGTTAAATTTCAAAGTAAATGCAAATGTAAGTCATGCTGTATAGAAAAAGCTCTGTTAGCCGAGGAGTTCTTGCCATTTTATTGCTAAGATTTTATTCTGTGGGCCTCTTGAGTTCTATGATTCTCAGATAAGTACTTTTTTTGAAATATCCAACATTGGGACTCTTGTACCCCATACGGAGATAGAGAAAGGTCCCTGTTATTCCTGTCTGACTTCCTTCCCTGTGATTCCAGGGAAGCCTTCGCTATGATTTCCTTCTAACACCTAATATTAAATGCATTTTCTATTTCTTTGTCTTCGGTTGCCTCGAATTTCTCACTCTTATCAATAAAATTTAGCTTTGAGATCCTGTTTACAGCTTTGGAATTGCTGTTTTTATATTCTTCATTTTCCTGTTTTTTTTTTTTTTGTACTGACTTCTGGACTAATTTGATGCTAGGGACAACCTAATTTTTCCTCATGTGTGTCTTGGTTCCAGCACCTTCTCTCCACTTCCCACTGAGGGCCTGAATCTGACTCTTTAGGAGTAGGGAACCTGTGGCCTTGGGGCCACATGTGGCCTTCTGGATGCTTGAGTGTGGCCTTTTGACTGAATCCAAATTTTATGGAACTCCTTTCTGTTGATCTTGTCAAGGGGCTGCACTTGGGATCTGGAGGGCCACAGATCCAAACTTGAAATCATTTGTGTTGAGGACACTCTGCCCTGGGGCTCCTATTCTCCCTTCACCTCTGTACCCTATTTTCTCCTCTTCCCAGTCCTGACCAATATTCCCATCCTGACGGACATGTTCTCAGACACCCCTCCTCGCCATCAGACATCCCAACAACCTCCTTCCCTCCCACACATCGGTGGGCCAACCTCATTTATGTAGATTGATCAGTTAGACTCCTGCTTAAAAACAGGCCGTGTCCCTATAGATTGGCTGTTTCCCATAGAAATGAGGTTGTAGATGGTGACTAGTTTCTAGGCTGTCTCATAGCTACCCACTTAGCTGATAACGTTGCCGTTGCCGCAGGACTAAATCTATGCATGGAAAAATAGAAAAGCAACATCACTTACACATTTGAGTAAGAACCTCCTTTATTTCATCCTAATAGCTTCTGCCTAAAGAAGAACAATGCTTGTTTAGAACATGAAAAATAGAAATTCAAGAATTTTCTGAGTGAGATTTTGGGAACCTTTAAGGGGTTGAATGTTGTTTTAAAAGTTCTAGTTATAGTCCCAAATGTATAGCTTTTCTTTGATGCTGTTGTGTCATTCAAGCCTTTAAAACATACATCTACTCTGATTCGCTTTCTGGGTACACAGCTGAAACAGAAAAAAGTAGTAATTTTTCTGAGATAAGTGGGCAAAAGTTGAAAAGAGGTGTGAGGGAAAAAGATCTGTTAAGAAGGATATGTGAGGCTGGGCTCAGTGGTTCGTGCTTTTAATCCTGGCACTTTGGGAGGCCAAGGTGGGAGGATCGCTTGAGGCCAGGAGTTCGAGACTAGCCTGGGCAACGTAGACCCTGTTTCTACCAAAAAAAAAAAAAGTGTTTTTAATTAGCCAAGGCAGGAGAATCACTTGAGCCCAGGAGTTTGAGGTTACAGTGAGCTATGATCGTGCCACTGCACTCCAGCCTGGACGACACAGTGAGACTCTTGCCTCTTAAAATTCTCAAAAAAGGATATATGTCTGTTTTGAGGTGATTTATGCAGTTGAGGGAGTGATGAAACAAAGTTCACAGTACTTGGGACTAAACAGAGAGGTGGTGAGGAAGGGGCACTGGGCAGACAGCTCTTGGGTGGCCCCAAGGCACAGTTTGGCCTTGGGTTGTGTATGGGAAGGAGTGAGACATTCAAGAAAACCCTGGGGATGCCAACCTGCTGAAAGAGGTACAGATGCAGGTAGGATGGCCACACTTCAGGGGAAGGTCTGTTAGATTTCCTCTGTTCGGGAAGAAAACCAGACTGATAGGTAGGCTCCTGATGAGTGAAATTCACTAACTGGTAACTGCTAATGTTTATTGAGTGTTGAGTGCCAGGCCATGGAATTAGTGTTTTACATTTAATCATTCAATCCTATGAGAAAACGTATCTCGAAGGTTGTTACCTCCCCAAATTTCTCAACCAATAAATGGCAGAGCTGGGAGTCCCCCTAGGTGGGTTTGGTGCCAACATTTACTGTCAGATGGAAGCCATTTGGTCCAATCTCCCAATTTTGGACGTGAGGAGACAGCTAGTTTTGCTGCTAGTTACCTGCTGTCTCGCTGCTAGTTACTATGTATCTTTGTGTATATGTCTGCAAAATGTACAGCCTTTGACATCGTAAAACCAAGGAGTTAAAATTAACTTCCCACTAAAGTGAGGACTACCCTGTTCCTACAGAGTTCCAGAAAGGAATCTTAAGTTTTTCTAGAGATGCAAGTATGTAAAAATAAAGTATAAGTAGAAATGTATGAAGCTAGAAGTGGTTCTGAAAAATAGCAGGAATCCAAGAAAGTGCTGAAGTATTAGGGCTTTAGAGAGAGGCCTGTGAGTGTCTGATTGCTTTTGGATCTCTTAGGTTTCAGGAGAAACCCAGACCTAACTTTCTGGGTGGTGGCTTTTAAGTAATGACCATGGGACAGTCTGGGTGGAGGATCACTGATTTCTGACCTCATCATTTCTGAATGCCGAAGTTTATTTCCCTTCCTGCTGTCTCCTGGGAGCCTGAAGAAAGGAGTTTGTGTGTGGCAGGTTCTGAGCCATGCTGCAAAGGCAAGGAACTCCATAAACTGGCATTCATGGGGGTGGCTGTGGCAGAGGGGAGGGGCGGGGGTCTGGTTGTCCAAAGACCTGAAGTTGAGCCCTAGCTCAGTTACTTATTTATTTTATTTTCTTATTTATTCATTTATTTAGATAAATAAAAATTGTACATATTTATGGTGTAGAACGTGATGTTTTGACCTACATAGACACTGAAATGATTAAATCAGGGTAATTAACATATCTATCACCTCACCTACTTAGCATTTTTAAATGGTGAGAACATTTAAGATCTAGTCTCTTAGCAGTTTTCCAGTACAGGATATGTCGTTAGTAACTGTAATCACCATGCTCTACGACATCCCCAGAATTTATTCATCCGGTCTAACTGGAACTTCGTACCTTTTAACCAGCATATCCCCCCACCCCAGCTCCTGGCAACCACCATTCTATTCTCTGTTTCTGTGAGTTTGACTTTTTTAGCTTCCACACATAGGGTGAGATCGTATGGTATTTGTCTCTGTCCTGGCACAGTTATTTCTGGCTTTGTGACCTCATCACATTCGTCATCTGTAAAATGCCTGCCTCCCTTGTTCCACCTACTTCACCAGGCTGTTGTGAAAACAAAATGAGATGATGTGTGAATTCTGGGTTTTAGCGTTAACGTCACATATTAGAAGTGCTTCTGTGGGGCTTAAAATTTTGCTCTTAATTTGGCATCTACAATGAGACATGTTTGAGAGGTTTAAGTAAAGCCATGAAGGTCAAAAAAGGGCTTACAGTTAGTTAATTCTGTTACTTGGGAACATTTGGGACTATTTAATTTGCAGAATTTTTAGTACCTAACTTTCCGTTGCCTTCTCTATTCCTTAGAATCTAGTCATGGCTGCCATGACAGATCTAGAATAGTAGAAGCTTAGAATTGCATTTCACTTCTGTGTAGCAGTCCAGATATAGTTGGTGTGGGGCAGCGTAGGAGGTGGGGTAGTACATGGGGCCAGGGAATGAGGTGGCTCTGTCTTATGTTTCCATGTGACTGTCACCTCTCGGTCCAAGTGGGCTGTTCCAACTCTGTTCAACAGGAAGGGGAGGGAAGGAAGGGTCTGGCCACAGCCTCATGTCCCTTCGTTCACGCCCCTTTGGACAGAACTATTCAAGCGTCTACACTTGGCTAGAGTGTAGTGTTGAGTTCAGCATCCATGTGTCCAGATAAGAATTCAATTACTATGTAAGAAGAGAGACTGAATTTTAGGGGGTGGGCAATGAGTAGTGTCTGCCTCAGCTGCCTGGAGTTATGTCATTAACTCCCTTTTTAAGAAGTGCAGAGTGTAGAAGGCAGAGCCGTTTTTATTCCATTCTGATGAACAGCTGTGGAATGATACTTGAAGGGGAGAATGAGGAGAGTAAGGCTGTTGGCTTAGAAGACGTTTAGAGATTATTCGTGCTTTTCTTTTATTCAGGCTTTTAAAGCCATTTATTACTTTTAGAGGACCTAGTGGTGCCTTGCTACATTCCAGGCACTGTGCTAGGTGCTGGGGAGTTAGAGATCATGGTCTCTGCTCTTTGAAGGTCCACTCCACAGGGGAAGATGGGTGTATCATGCAATGACTAGAAAACTGTGATGGGAGGCTGTGGGAACTCCTAGGAAAAGACCTGACCCCCCTGGGCAGGAAGGATATGTATGTGTGTTAGATGCAGCGTGGGGTAAGCTCACTGGGAGGGGGAGATGTCTGTATCACCTTGCTCTCTGGGAGTGCAGACCAACTGAATTGATGTTAAGATGCTCTTCTCTAGTGTCATGTCCACGGTTTAATGTTTTGTCTCTGTTTCTCAGAATCGTTCCACGTGGGCATCGGGAACCTCCATGACAAGGAGTGATGCTGCCCCGATGGGAGCTGTCTCTTTACCTGCTTGCTTCACTAGGCTTCCACTTCTATTCTTTCTATGAAGTTTACAAAGTCTCCAAAGGTAAGCCCCCAACCTTTTCTGATCTCCTATCCAAAAAGGAGCAGAGGTGGAAGATTTAGGAATATAGTCCAAGTAGGGTCAAGGTGACTCGGGCCCTGCTCTGTTTCCCCCTGGTCTTGGGTAGTCCAAATCAATGACCTGAGAACATGAAGTTTTCTACCCCAGTCCTGGGTCTTTTAGGTGATTCTGCGGCTTATTTTCTATAATAGGAGAGGTTGGTTCAATGGCTATCAAAGGCCATGGAGGGGATTTGCGTTCAGGATTTGAAGTAAACCATTTTCTATTTCATCATTACTCAGATATATCTCGGACATATGGAGGCAGCTTGATGGTGTTGGAGACCCAGACTCCTTTTATCTTCTTGTTCTGCCATCTTTAGTATGTTGCCTTTGTGTCAACATCCTAAATGTTGGAGATGATGTTGCATGTTGGAGATGAACCGTCCTCAAGTCTCATTCCAGCCCATAGTCGGGGGAATGGGAGCCGCTCCTTTCTTTAAGGAGAGTTTGGCAAGTAGCACTTGTCACTCCTGCTCACACCCGATTGGTCAGCACTCAGTCACAGCTGGGAGGCTGGGAAATGTAGTCTTTAGCTTGGTGGCCATGTGCTGCCTAAACCTTCTCATACTATGGAAGAAAGAGAATTCTGGAGGGCCATGAGCAGTCTCTGCCATAGGTAGGGACAGTGTTGAAGAGGTGATGGTGATTACTGAGCCTTGGCTCAAAGAGGAGCAGGAGTCAGCCAAGCAGAGAAGAAGGCAGAGGAACTACAGACAGAGATGAGTTTGTAGGCAAACGGACAAGTTGCACGACGCTGTCGACATGGGAAAAAGAATAGCGTGATTTGGGAACTATGAAACCCTTGGCAGGACTGGAGCGCACAGTGTGATGTGGGAGTGGAAAGAGTTGAGCTTAGATCAAAGCACAGGGCTAGATGGGGAAAGACACTGTATGTCGGATTTATCTTGTGGGCGAGAAGCATGTTGAAAGTAGTGTAGTCTTTGAAAATGGCGAAGGTAGGTTTTGGGAAGTACACTTGAGAGTGCTCTGCCTTCGGCATCTGCTGCCCTGTGGATCACCAGGATTGACTTTTCTCCCCATTTTTCACTTGTTCCACTCAAAGCTGTGGGCTTGGGTACAAGTGACCATCTAAAGTAGATGAACAGTGTTCTTTGGTCAAGGCCGTCCAAGCAGCTGCACCCCCTGCTGGACCCTTGGAGCTCTTGGAGCCCACGTAGAAGGAGCTAACCTGCTCTTTGTCAGGCACTGTGCTAGGCATTTCACGTACCTCATCTCATCTGATGGTCAGCACAGCCCTATGAGATGGATATCACTTAAAAGACAGGCTTGGCTGCAGAAACGTAGCCTTCAAAATATCTGTGGTCCACGGCTGGTATGGTGTCTAGACAGTGTCAGAAACCCTGGTTCCTTCTAACACGTGCCTTGCTGTTCTCAATGTGTGTCCCACCTCATGTAAGGTGGCTGCTCCAGCTCCAGCTGTCACGTTTGCTTTTGACTGGCAGCAAGGATGGAAAGGAAGAAGGGAGGGCAGACCCTCTCCCATTCAGGGCATGAGCTGAAGGTTGTTTACATTCATTCACGTACCATTCCCCAGAACCTCGCCCTGTGACCACATTAACTGAGAGGGAAGATAGGAAATGTAATCTTCGGTTGGGAGGCCGTTTATCCAGCCAGAACTCAAGGGTTCTTTTGGAGAGGAAGAAAGTAAGAATGGCCATTAGCTGTCAATCAGCAGTCTCTTCCGCAGATGAATGTCTTCATTACCCACTGGTGCATGACAAACTATCCTGAAGCTTCGCGATGTGAAACAATAACCACTGTTTATTATCTCTCACTGTTCTGTGAGATTCTCTACCTTTTGAATAGACCTTATTTTTTAATTTTTTAATTTTTTTTTTTTGAGACAGAGTCTCACCCTGTCACCCGGGCTAGAGTACAATGGCATCGTCATAGCTCACTGCAACCTCAAACTGCTGGGCTCAATCAATCCTCCTGCTTCAGACCCCCGAGTAGCTGGGAATACAGGCCTGAGCCATGATGCCTGGCTCATTTTTCTATTTTTAGTAGAGATGTGTTCTTGCTCTTGCTCAGGCTGGTCTTGAACTCTTGAGGTAGCAATCCTCCTGCCTCAGCGTCCCAGAGTGCTAGGATTACAGGTGTGAGCCACCACGCCTGCCCCTAGACTCTATTTTTTAAAAGCACATTTTAAAGGAGGCACAGTGGTGCATACCTGTAGTCCCAGCTACTCACGAGGCTGAGGCAGGAGGATCGCTTGAGGTGAGGAGTTTGAGTCCAGCTTGGGCAACATAGCGAGACTGTCTCAACAACAACAAAAAAGCAGTTTTAGGTTCACAGCAAAATTGAGCAGAAAATACAGAGTTCCCATATACCATGTTCCCATATATACACAGTTGCTCCCACAGTCAGCATCCAGCACCAGAGTGGTACATTTGTGACAATTGATGAACCTACACCAACACATCATTATCCCCCCAAATCCATAGTTTACAATAGGGTTGATTCTTGATGGTTTACTGTCTATGGGTTTTAAGAAATGTATAATGACATGTATCCACTGTTTAAGAGTACCATATAGAGTAGTTTCACTGCCCTAAAAATCTTCTGTGTGTCGCCTACCTGTCCTTCCCTCCCCTCTACCCCTGACAACCCCGAACCTTTTCATTGTCTCCATTGCTCTGCCTTTTCTAGAATGTCACATGGTTGGAGTCATAGTATGTAGCCTTTTTAGATTGGCTTCTTTCACTTAGCAATAAGCATTTAAGGCTCCTGAATGCCTTGTCATGGCTTGATAGCTCATTTCTTCTCAGCACTGAATAGTATCCCATCATCTGGATATACTGCAATTTATTTATCCATTTACCTGCTGAGGGACAGATATCTTAGTTGCTTCCAAGTTTTTGCAATTATGAATAAAGCTGCTATAAACACCTGTGAACAGGTTTTCGAATGGACATAAGTTTTCACCTCATTTGGGTAAATACCAAGGAGTACCATTGCCAGATCATATGGCAAGAATATGTATATTTTTTTGTAAGAAACAGCCAAACTGTCTTTCAGAGTGGCTGTACTATTTTGCGTTCCCACCAGCAAAGAACGAAAGTTCCTGTTCTCCACATCCTTGCAAGCAATTGGTATCATCAGAGTTCTGGATGTTATCCATTCTAACAGGTATATAGTGATATCTCATTTTTCCATAATGAAAAGCATTTGCGTTTTCCTTATGACATGTCATGTGGCGTGTCTTTATATGCTTATTTGCCATCTGTATATCTTCTGTGTTTAGATATCTATTGGGGGTTTTTTATGCCCATGTTTTAATTGGGTTGTTTATTTTGTGATCGTTGAGTTTTAAGAGTTCTTTGTATATTTTGGATACAGTCTTCTATCAGATATGCCTTTTACAAATATTTTCTCCCAGTGCATGGTTTGTCTTCTCATTCTCTTGACAGTGTCCTTAGCAAAACAGAAGTTTTTAATTTTAATGAAGTCCAGCTTATCAATTATTTCTTTTATGGATCATGCCTTTGGTGTTGTATCTACCTGCATCATCTAGATTTTTCTCCTGTGTTATCTTCTAGAAATTTAATATTTTATGTTTTTACCTTTAGGTCTATGATCCATTTTGAGTTAACTTTTATAAAGGGGTGTGTAAGGTCTGTGTCTAGACTCATGTTTTTGCATGTGGATGTCCAGTTGCTCAAGCACCATTTGTTGAGAAGGTTATTTTTTCTTTATTGTTTTGCCTTTGCTCCTTTGTCAAAAATCAGTTGACTATATTTAGTGGGTTTGTTTCTGGGCTGTCTATTCTGTTCCATTGATCTATTTGTCTATTCTCTCACCAATACCATACTTTCTTGATTACTATAGCTTTACAGGAAGTCTTGAAATTGGGTAGTGTCAGTCCTCTGACTTTGTTCTTTGTGTTGGCTATTTTAGGTCTTCTGCCTGTCTATATAAACTTTAGAATCAGTGTGTCAATATCCACAAAATAACTTTATCCATAAAATAGTGATGTTTATAGCAGCTTTATTTGTAACTGCCAAAACTTGGAAGCAACCAAGATATCTGTTAAAGTGATAGATCACATTAATTGATTTTTGTGTTCTGTGAGATTTTGTTTCTGATATTCCTGGACTTGGACTCAACTGGCAGTTCTCTGCTTCATGTGTTGTTATCTGGGCCACAGTCATCTGGTGGTTTGACTGGGCTTGTGCATCCAGGGTGGCTCACTAACGTGGCTGGCAGTTAGTGCTGGGGTCAGCTGAGAGCTCAGCTGGGGGCTGTCTAACTGGAGTGCTGTGTGTGGTTCTAAGTGGCTTCTCCACATGGCTCATGTTTTGTATAACAGGCAGCTGGGTTTCAAGAGGGAGTGGTGCAAGTGCACAAAAATGGAAGCTGCAGATCACTTAAAACCCAGTCTGGGAGGTTGCATAGTTCACATGAGGTCACTGAAGCTCAAAAAAAAAAAAAAAAAAAATGTCCAAGGTACACTGGCTCTGGGGTCTAAACCCAGGTCTGTTCAACTCTAGACTCAGTATTTTTTTCTATTCTGTCATTCATATGTATTGATAATTTCTTAAAGTGGCTTGCTTTAAAGCAGAAGCTCTTTCATCTCTTCTACTGTTAAACTTTAAACTGTGTTGTGGTAGCTGCTGGATGGGTGGGGGACCGCTCTGTGGATAGTATAAAACTTTTCTGCACTTCAGCTGGTCCAGAGGCTATTGTGCTGTCTATTACTGACCATTCCCAAGCCTGAAGCTTCCTTTATCCTTTGTGCTTTTCCTTTTATTGTCAATGCTAAACTGTTTCTCAAGCCATTCCCAAGAAACATCTTCCTCTAATGGTTTTGCCAGTTCAACTCATGGAAGCCAGAGCCCCCCATCTTGCCAAAGTATGTTTAACTGGTGCAATGTTGAGTCGTCTTGGTTCCACATCTCACTTTCTAATTCAGGAAAAAGT